ATGAGGCACTTGCACAGACTTTTGATTCTAAAAGTGGGGACAAGGCTCCAACTATTTCTCTAACCTACTGAGTGCCAGGCGCTGTATTAAATGCGTTATGCATGATCTCTTTTAGGCTGTACTAAGCCTATCAGGTACACATTAACGTCATTCCCCATTGTATAGAGAGGCTCAGAGAAGTTGAGTAACATAGGAGGTCCCACGGCTGATGAGTGGGGGAGCTGGGATTTGAACTCACAGATCTTGACTTTAGAGTCTATACCTGTGACCCCGATGTCCTGCACCCTCTAGCTAACTACTCTCTCCCCGCCCACCTGCCAGGTCCTGCACGTGCCCACTGGCCAAAAGGTGGCTGCTTTAACATCTCCCCTCTAGACTTTTTCGGTGGCGAGCTGCCTGATAGGCGCACAGGACCAGAACCTGGCTCTGAGCCCCATTCTGCGGTTTTTACCTGAGTTCCCTCCGTCCTGCGGTCACCGGTTTCTCCACCGCGGGGTTGTGGTGAGAGCTCAATGCCTTGGACGGTTCATCCCTACTCCAGGGTGTGGCTGGCCTGGCAGACGCGAAGCCTGCCGAGGATAGCCCCTCAGTCCGCCGTCCGCACGGACAAGTCCCAGTTATTAAACGTTTGCCTAGCTGCACTCGTTTTAAAATAGCTTGAGCAGCCACGCAGTTACCTACAGGCTTTTCACTGAACTTGGAAATCTGATCACCTCGTTCTCTAAAATTTCCCGCCCGGTGGTTGATGTGGGTGGGCTTTCTTTAAACTTTCATCTAAGCTTTAATAAACGACTGATGGATTCGAGGGTGGAAATAAATGCCGTTACAGGTGATGATAATACCGCAGGACATATTCTGGCAAAACTGTTGAGAACTCGTCACCTTCTCTGTCATTCCAGGTGGGCTGACACACACCCTCCGCTGGTGCTGGTGGCAGCTAGCCGGCACCCTTCACCCTCGGGGATTTCCTGTAAGTCGGGAGTCTTTCACAGCCTGAGCCCCCAGCCGACCACTGCCCTGTGCTTTCTACTCCATAACATTGGCTCTCATTGGCAAACAGGTCTCTGCCCCTGGGGCTCAGGTGGAGGTGTGGGGAAGGAGAGGGGAAGGGACAGGAAAAGGGATGGGAGGTGGCCTTGAAGGGCCAGAATGAAGGAAGGATAGAGAGAAGGAGGAGAGAGAGGAACAAAGGGGAGAGGGGAGGGAGGAGGCAGGGGAGAGGGAATGGGGGTGTCGTGGCTGCACCCTCTGCAGAGAGACTGAGAAGCAGGAAATACAAACGCTTGGTGGACGACAGAAAGATTTATGAGAAAATCAAGAGAAAACTCAAGTTTGGGAAGTGGCAGAGCCCAACAGAATGGAGCGGCCAGCTGAGGACTGGCGGAGTACGGGGGTGACCAGAGACAAGTGACCGACAGTGCATCCCCAGCCAGCCCGGCCCCAGGTAGAAGCAGCTCATTTCTGCAGGCCTGACTGGAAGGCCTGAGCTAAGGCAACTGCGCACACCTGACCCAGGGTTCCCCAGTGAGACGCGTGGCGAGACCTCTATGGCAGCCTCTGGGGCCTTGTGACAACGGCCTGGCCTGGTTAGGTCCTTAAGGGGAGACCAAGAGCCAGCTCGACAGGAAGGTCTCCAGCCTTCTCGTCTTAGGCCAGGGACTGCCTGCCTCTTTGCATCTGCCCCACACCCACGGAAACCTCTGTGGGCTCAGGCACTTGAAGGAAATCAAGCAACCTGGCCCAAAGCAAGCTGGTGGCCCCAGGAACCAGGAGAGGTCACAGAGGGTCAGGAAGACGGCCTGTGCAGCCTTCGCCACTGCAGATGAAGATGGGGGGATGGCGTGAAAAACAGAGCTCTCAACTCAGAGAAGACTTGGTTCAAATCCTGAGCCACTACTTACTTGGAGTATGACCTTGACCTCAGTTCCCTCTGCCGTGAGGGCAGAGTGGTACCTCAGAGAGTTGGCAAAACTGCATATGCTAATGCGTGTAAATGTATGGGAAGCAGCTGTGGCACACTTCCGTGTCCCTGGCTCCTGTGCTCCTGTGGAAACCCTGCAGGGGTGTCTGGCTGGTCGTGGTCATGATCGGCGGGGAGACGAGCATTAGGAAGCCACACCTCTAGTCCATTTCCTAGGCTGATTCTCCACCTACCCTCTGTCTGAGCCCTGTGCCGTCTCTCAGGTGGCTCTGAACTCAGAGGAGGAGAGTAACATTTGGGGATTCCGCCTTAACTGCCAGCTGCCTACGCACCCCCAGAAGCAGGCTTCTCCCACTGAGTCTGTCAGAACGTCTGCTGAGTCCAGGCCCACCTGCAGGGACACCTGCAGGGGCACCGATCCTCCTACAAAAAGCAGCCCAAGCAAGAGCTGCTCAGCACACCAGGCTCCCATTTCTGCTGTGCACCTCGACGGTCTTAGGGACTGTCTGGGGTTTTATTTCTGCCGACCTCTGTCCCTGGGTCTTGGTGTCATCTTGTTCTTTGGCAACATGTGAGCCACAACACCCTCTGCTGAGAGCTCCAGCTGCAGCTAGCGCATTCGATTTCTTCCTCCGATAGAATTTCAGATGCCACGGGCAACATGCTCACGGTTCCATCTCGCCGTCGAGAACTCACTGGCTGTTTATTCTGTGCTGGGGACTATGGGAGGTATGGGGGGAAACCATAAATTGGCAGAGAATTTGCCTTGGAGGAGCTCTCAAGCCCGTGGCAGGAAGTACTGAATTCCCAGAGACCTCTGGGAGCAAAGGAAAACGACTGAGACCGGGAAGTGAGTTTCTGCATGAGGCCGTCCAGTCTACACTGCTCGTCAACCTTGTGGTTAGAGGGGCTTCGTGAGTCAGCGAGCGCTGTTAGACGGATCAGAACTCTGTATGGTTTACTCTCCAGTCAGATGAAGCGCAGTCCACAGAACAGGCAGCAATCACAGACACGTGCTGGGGCCCTGATGCATTTCCAACGGCCCAGCACTAGGAATTCTCTTCAGATCTCAATGGCTATTTCCGGTTTTCCTTGGCCCCCTCCCCTGAGACCCTCATCGTGTTGCCTCGCTTCCGGGGTTCCAGGCCTTGTCCTCAGCCTCTGCCTGAGCCCTGATTAGAGTCAGAGGGTCGTTATCACCCATCCCCCACATCATCAGGTTTTTTCCCCCTTTCCAGTACCTTCTGCACAATGACCACTGCCCATGACTGGTCACTAGGGAGTGGTCCTCCTTCCAGGACAGAGACCCTGCAGCCCCTGGGTCTCCTGGCCAGTGGACTCCGCATTCCGCCTGCACCTGAGGATCTGGGGGTGCTTCTGAATCCTCCCTTTGCTAGGATAATGACAGTTCAGTGGTGCTAAGGCTTCCAGACCTGCAGCAGCTCAGGACTTTTTCAGATCACAGTCAGTCCAGTGTACTAACATTTGTCTGAAACTTACGGCTGAAGCAACACTTCAGCTTTGTAACCAGTAGAGTAGTTGATTTTATAGCTTCTAGAAACTGTTTCCCTCTCGTCTCTCACTGCACATACTACACTGCACAAGTCCGATTTTAGCTCAATTGACATTATTGACATTTTTAAAGTGTTTTTACTTTTGTACATAAAACATCAAATCGTGTCATTATCCAAAGAATATGCATCATGTTTTGAATAAAAATGCCCTGAATATATCCAATTAACTCATCCAAAAAGATGCTCCAATGCCCACTATGTGTCTAGGTGTCTCCTAAGTCTGAGAGCCCCGCTCTTTGGAGCTCACCATTTGGCGAAGAGGCAGGCATGACGACTAACAATTGATACATAGGACAATATGATAAGGAGGACAATGGCCAGAGCCATTTAGACAAGTGAAAGTAAAACTAACTGCCTGGGAACAGAGAGGAAGACTTCACAGAAGAGGTGACGCTGGAGCTGGGTCTTGAAGGGGAAACAGGAGTTTTCCAGATGAACACAAGACAACAGAGTATTGCAGCCAGAGGAAGAAACGTACGCACAGGTGCAAAGGGCAGAAGCAGCCGCGGCAGCCGCAACCAATGCTCAGGGCACTATGCATGCACTTGCGTCAGTGGTACAGAGAATGTGGCAGTGGGGAGAAAAGGGGCTAGAAAAAGGCAGGCGGCAGACCTCACGTCAGCAGCTTTGTACACAAGGGAAGGCATCTGGCCAGCACCCAGGCGGCTCTGAACAGCCACTGAGAGATTCTCATCAGGGCGCCTCATGATCGGATTCACTGATACTTTGCAGTTCGAGAAATAAAGTGGAGGTCACACTGAAGGGCGGAGGCCAGATCTGAGTCTCCCGCCCAGTGAAGCTCAGGAATGCTGAGAACCTGGACAGAAGGAGTGTGAGGACGATACAGAGAGCAGGTGTAAGAGGCACGCTGAGCAAAATCCACAGGACCTCGTGACAGGCGGGACGTGGGGTGTGAGGGAGAAAGCAGCTTCTAGGAAGACTCCTGGATTTCTGGTTGGAACCAAATCTTCCCCAGACAAGACTGCTCCCTAGCTGGGATGCCATCTGCCAACTTTTAGCCCAGAGCAAATTTCATGTCCCAAGCAGACAGCACAAATAAACAGAAATAATTTCTAACTTATAGGATATCAGGTCTTAAACTCGTAAGTGACTGACACACAGAAGAGTGCAGATGGGAACAAACCAGCTAAATTTAAGAACTTAAATTATAAAAGTTTTCAGTCTATAAACAATCAAAAGCCACGAAGTGTCAAGACATAAAATTTCAGGGTGAATAAATGAAGTCCAGATGAAGTGGTGTAACATTCTTGGGGAACTTTGTACGAAGAGCAAACACCAAGTCAGTTAATAATTGCTGAGTATCTACATACCTGCCAGAGACTGACCAGGCCCATGACAGGACTTAATGACATAGGGTCTGCTTCCGATGAGGTCACCTTCCTCTCACTGAGTTGGACCACAGTTCCTCATAAATATTTAACTTAAACTGTAAAGCAGAAAGATCAACTTGTCATGTTCACACCAGGAAATTAAGCTGAGAATCATATGGTGATAGCCTCCATTTTAATTAATGTTCTACTATTCATTTTTAAAGATAGTTTTACGTTAGGTGTGTTATAATTATACTAAAAATAATGCAGTCCGTGTTCCCATGAGTGTGCAATTTCAACTATTTCCGACAAGAGAAATACACATATTCTGTGTCACATACTTCTTGGGTACAAAACACTGATTATCTGCTGTAGTCAATTGGGCTTAAGATGCTGAGGAGTCTTCGTAAAGGACTTCATCTACCTTCACGTCATTTTCGTCCACTGGGACCTGGAGGCAAATCTGTTCTTTGAAAGCCAAGGCCATGGTGTAGGGTTTCGCGTGCTGCTGCTGTGCACAGCGCTTCAGGTAGGCGTCGTAGTAGCCCCTGCCCCTCCCCAGCCGGTTGCCTTGTCTGTCAAACCCAAGACCCGGCATGAAGATGAGATCGAGTCCCCCTGTGGAAAAGAGGAACACATTTATGAGGGTTAACGGTTTCCGAAACAGACGATCACTTAGAAATCTGGTTTGTTTTTAATGCCACCTATTCTTTCTGATTTCTAATGAAATACACAATCCCTTCAGAAAATCATAAGAGCACGAGGTCAGCCTAAAAGGAAATAAAAATGACTCGGCAATTCGGTAAATCTACTGGGCTCCCTTCCAGTTCTGCATGTACACATGTGCGAAAGCACCAGATTCCAGCCCCACCCATAGCTCACTACAGACTCTCCAGGGACAGGGCCTAAGAGCGTCTTTCCTTCTTTTTTTAAGCATCCAGGTGAATCTACACACCTGCCAGGCTGGGGAACCATGTCCCAGGATCATGACAATCAGACGAGTGGGAGAGGGTCAGGAAGACGCCGTAAGGAACAGAGCATGGTCAGAGTCAGTGAGCAGGAAGAGGGCTGGCTGTCACGAGGACGGAGCCCCCTTCTTCCCTTCCCCTCCCCCTGGAGAAGCAAGGCCAGTTGTCAGGCTTCCCCGGATTTACGAGAGAACGGGCTTTCACCTACTCAGGGGCATCCAAAGGTACAAGATGGGGTCCCACACCTGGTCCTATGGCTGGAACCCTTCCAGGGAACGCAGGGACCAGAACTGGCCATGGCATCCTCAGGACAGACTGCTGGGGCTCAGGGTGGAAGGCAAGGTCTTGGAGGCTGTGAAAACCCAACCACTTTGAGAGGTGGGAGGCATCCCATGAAGAAGGCAGTGAAGGTCACGAGATGGAAACTGCCACGGACTGGGGAGGCCCAGGGAGCAGCCCTCTAGCTCCTGGCAGGGAGCACGACAGACCAGTCCAACTCAGGGGTCTGCCCCACAGCCTTCCTGCACGGGGCCTCGGCTGCCTGACGGCCATCCTGGGGCCTCCGGGTGACCTACAGTTTAGCCACGGACTAGCTGCTCACGCAGCATTGCTGGCAGGGACATACCAGTGCTGGAAGCCACGAGTTCCCGGGAACGGAGTGTTCTAAGTAGAAGTGGCCCCCACTACCAGCAGCTGTTCTGACTACCTGCATAACTGTGAGGCGAACTCAGCTTCTCTCTGGCTCCCAGCACATACCTGGCACCCTTGCCTGCCAAAACCCAGCAGAGCATGTCTCAGATTATAGTCATGACCTTCTCGGGTAAACCGGCTTGTCTTGCCAAAAAACCCTGGTCACTGGCCTTTCCCTTTCCCTTCCCTCCCTGTCCCCATCCTGCTCGTTGTTCTCTTTCGGGACTGACAGGGGCTTGAGCACTTAGACTGCGCTCCCTCCGCGTCCTCTGTCGCCAGAGCACACTCAGGCTTACAGCACGGCTCTGTCGTCTATGCCTAGAACCCAGACGCATCCACCTTTTCCGGGGCTTCTTGCCTCTTTACGGTGTGGCGAGGGACTTTGCAAAGTCCTGGGGCGGGAGGAGAGAGGACCCGGCCCATCGGGAGATGGAGGGCAGTTAACAGATGCACGCGTCCCATCCACCCCAAAGCAAGGCAGCGGCGTCTGCCAACCGCCCAAGAGCAGCGGAGACGAGCAGCGCGGCAGCTTCAGCAGCGGGGGAGCCCTTCTGCCGGGGTGTCGGGGAGGCCCGGGGAACTCTGACTGCACCTGGCTTTTACAGGTGTGTCTGAGTCAGGTCTGAGTAGACTTCAGAAGCCCAGGGGAAGGTGGCAGGAGCACAGTGCTGGGAAAGGAGCAGAGAGGGCGGAGGGTCAGGCTGAGGAGCGTGGAGTTCGTCAGGTAGGGGCACAGATATTTGGGAGTTAAAGGTGAAGAGACTCCTACAGCTTAATAGCAAAAAAAACAACCTGGCTTTTAAAAATGGACAAAGGACTTAGACATTTCTCCAAAGTTAAAAAAAAAAAAAAGATGCCAACAGGTACATAAAAGATGTTCAACATCAATGATCACCAGGAAAATGCAAATCAACACCTCGATGAGATATCACCTCATCTTGTTAGGGTGTCCGTTACTAAATATAAAGTCAGTGAGAATGTGGAGAAACTGGAACCCTCGTATGTTGCTGTTGGGAATTTAAAAAGGTGCAGTCGCTACAGAAAACAGTTCCTCAAAAAATTACGAATAGAACTAGCGACAATCCCACTTCTGGGTATTTATCCAAACGAACTGAAATCAGGGTCTTTAGGAGATATTTGCACACCCATGTTCACTGTAGCATTATTCAAACGGCAAGAAGTAGAAAGAACCTAAATGTCCATCAAGAGAATAAATTAATAAACCAAATGTGGTATGTACAATGCAATATCATTCAGTCATGAAAAAAGGAAATCCTATATATGCTATGACATGGAAGAAACTGGAGGACATTGGGTTAAATGAAATAAGCCAGTTGCAGAATGACAAATTCTGCACGATTCCACGCAGATGGGGAACTCACGGAAGCAGAGAACAGAATGGCGGCTGCCAGGGGCTGGGGGGAGGAGGATGGGGGAAGTCGCGGTTCCCTGGGCCTTAGTTTCAGTTGTGGGGACCTCCGCGCAACATCGCGCTTGCAGTGAACATTACTGTACTGCACGCTTAAAACTCTGTAAAAGGGTGCGTCTCATGTTATGTGTCATTCACCACAATTTTTTAAAAGGCAACGATACCAGAAGGAAAGCCAGAAGAACAGTCAGGATTTCGGCCAGAGTCAAGACATAGGAAAGAGAAGGTAGGATTTCATAGAACCCATCTGTAGGCAGAAGAAAAGAATGAAAAAAAGAAAAGAAAAGAATGTTCTCAAATCCTTCTAGCTGGAATTGATCTCGCCTCCCCGACCCCAACTCCTGTTCCTCCCGGCACTGATTACGGCCTCCCTGACGTCTACCGTGTACTTCGGCCCACTGTGCATGTCTCTGTCTGCCCCGCCAGACGGAAAGCTTCCCTGAGGACCACAATGTTTCCAAGTCATCCTTCACGCTTGGATTTCAAGAGCATTCTAGGTCGAAGAAACCCTGAAAGACATGTACCACCTGCAGAGCGGATCAATCCAGCATGACATCCCCTACTTCAGTACACGCCAAGATATGCGGGTTTGGATCAAGGAGGCAACATTATGGGACAAGAAAATGACAGAAGGATTGCCTTGCACGGATACCTGTTCAGAGTGAGCTCCATAACTGTTAAGCAAGAAAGAGAATGGCTTTGGGACTCTCAGGTGACAAAAGGCTCTGAAATGGCCCTTCGTAAGCAAGGGTCCTGACATCCTATTTAGGGTGCTGCTGTTGCACCCCCAAGCCATAGGATTGCTACTGCTGCTCCCTCAACCATGGGTTTACCTGTTATCCCCAGCTTCAGGTTCTTAAAAGCCCTCTGTGGTCAGCTTCTGCACTGGTGAATCCAGGTGTCCTCCTGATTCACACAGTGCGTTCCACGCTGACTCCATCCACCTGCTGTCACCCTCAAGCTCTTCCTGTGCCTTACTACCGTCAGCACATGCTTACCCCATCCGCGTCCCACCGTACACACACCTGGGGCTCTGCATACTTCCCTAACACTGTGCTGGATGCTTTCCCTCCCCGAAGGTGATGATCCAACAGGGCCTGAAAATCACATACAGGCTTAACACGTTCCCCTTGCACACACTGGTCCCACCAGACCATCACGACTAAGAGTTGACCCCAGACCCACTGAAACACACTGCGAAGTCCAAACCCTTCTGGCGGATGGGAGAAAAATCCTGGTCCACGCACCTCTTCTGTGTACACCTCTAGCGTGGCTCATTAGGAGCACGCTGACACCAGCACGACATGCAGGAGAGCCAGCCTGAGTTTGTTGTCTTGTGTGCGCTTGCTTCGCAGGCGCCTCCTGGTGCCGACCAGGAGCCCCGGCTGCACCAGGCCTGCGAATCAGACCAGAGTCCAGAAAGTGATCTCAGCACGTCAGGAGGCTGTACTGCAGAGTCGCAGTTGGTTGCGTGCTCTTCCTCAGGCTCTGCTGGCTTCCCAATGGGACCCTGCATCCCCAAACTGCAAGGCCACCCTTCGGAAAACTCGACCTGGAACACACACTATTTGCTCAGACGACTTGCCCCTTCATTGGCGCTGGCTCTCAAACGCAGCACCCTGTGGAGTCCGTCCAGGGTGGTGATCAGGGGCCCTGAAGCTACTTCTTAGCTGTGTCACCAGGCGAAGCTCCTGCCCTTCCTGTGCTTCAGTCTTCTCATCTGTAAAGTGGAGCTGAAAACAGTATCCACTTCACAAGGCTTGTCATAACAGTCAGATGATGCCTGTAAGCTCCCAGCACAGTGCTCGGATTATGCTACGTATGGTAACTACATTTACTGGGACAGCTTTTCTTTTCTAATTAAGAAATGTCAGGCACTGTTCCTAAAGCCGGGGAGCCGGGAAAGGAGCTGGAGCTTCCACCTTCCGTCAACTGGTTTTTAACAAGAGCCTTTACAGTCTTCCCTCGGAACTGGCTCTTCCACGTTCTCTCAGCTCCAGGGTTTGGGAAAAAACCAGGGGAGAGCGATGTGAGGGAAGAGAGGTTAGCAAGCTTTCCCTGTGAAGGGCCGGGGAGCAAAGGAGTCAGGCTTCACAGCCACGTGGACGCTGCTGTACAGCATGAGAGCAGCCACGGACAGGAATCAGCAACCGGCTGTCAGAATTCTCGCCTCCGCTGGTTACTCGGATGTGCCGGTGTTTCTCATGGGCGACCGGGGATCCTGCCCTCAGGCACTGCTGGCCTCGATCCACCCTGAGACGCAGCCTCCATCCCGACTCCCCTTGTTCCAAAGCTTCCGGTCAATCGCGACCTCTCAAAGGCAGCATCCGAACTCTTCACTTGGGTATCAGTGCCCACCCGGTCTCATCCGAAGCGCCTCTCCCACATCATCTCCCATCATGCTGAGCTAATCCCTGTGAAGCAGACGGATTCGCTGTCCCTCGGACCCAGCCGCGATCTCCTGCCTGCAAGTCCTTGCTCCCGCTGTGCTGTTCTCCACGCCTGAAAGGTCCTTCTAACCCTTTAATTAA